AAATAGAAAAAACTGAGATTTAAGGGCCACAAAAATCAAAGAAGCAACCTGATTGCCCGAAACATTGAACGAGGATTTCTAAATTGGGCCATGTAATGTGAAGACACCCCAAGAACTGTCAGCCAACCTGATCTGCAATAGATTTCCTGTAAATTTTTTGTACTACTGCCAAACACGAGGGCATCTTGTTCTTTGTGGCACATTTCAAACAGTTAATTAGCTCCTCAGCAAGAGCTTTCGTGTATATCCAAGTGTAAACTTTGGTGCACATAGCTGATGCTGTGTAATGTGTCAAGTCCTCACATTTAAGTCCATCACTGCCATGAGAAAACCTGTCCAGAGGCTAGAAAGCGGCTTTGAGCAGCAGGTACAGGAAATTTCAGTCAAAGAATTTGATTCCTATTTACCTAAAGACAGTCTGCTGTGAAATTTAGGCTTATCTTCCCCCAACCCTCACTGACTGATCGTTTCTGTTGGAAAAGTCCTCTACCAGCACTGGTGTTATGCCACCAGATAAGGTCCTCCATCAGTCACATCAACCCCCGAGACATTGTGACATTTGCTGGGATGAACAGTGTCGCAGCTGCTTACCTGACCTTTCACAAAGGCTCCTTCAACACTGTGTCAGATTGAATGCAGAGTTACCCTCGACTGCATTTCTGCCTTGACCGCAATTTAAAACTCAATCCAGACTCCCCGAATGAAGGGTGTGATGATGCTGTAGGTCTAAAAAAAAAAAAATGTGTCTCAGAAGGCACACACCTGTCACCCCAAAGAGGATTGACTGAAAGTGTTACAAAGGATTGGACATTTTGTATTACCTCTGGAGCATGTTAATCTTTATATCATGTCAGATTGAAATTTTCTCGTTAAAGAAGAAGAAGGGGAAAATGATCGAATATGGACTCCGGGAGATAATCACAAACCTTTAAAACTTGTAATGACCCCAAGGTAAGAATGCCTTTGCCAACACTGCCACCCAGTGCGCAGAAGAGTAGGTGCACTTACTCTTTCTGCCATCCAACTTCTCAGTGGCAGACCTAAAGACTAAAAAATATTGCTTCTTCCCCAACAATTACCTATGTGAGTATAATGGCAGACATCTAAAGGTAGAAGAAACAATCTGTGTTTACATTAAATGTAAGGAATCAATCCATCCTTACGTGCCCCACTACTTTCCATTCCACAGTTGACAAACCTTGAATGCTGATGTCATTATTAGGATGCAGTGCACACCAACACCATGCAGGGATCCCAGCCTTCAAGCAGCTAGAAAACTCCACACTTACACACTCACACTCTGAGCTAATTGCTTGGTCTGCATTTCAGACGACACACCATTCGTTTTGAAGGATCCGTCTTCTTGTCGTTCTTAAAGATACATTGTTCATATGTTGCTTCTTTGTTCTCCCCCCCTCTGAATACCAATGGCCATGACCTCCTTGTCCTTTCAAGTTTTTCCTTTTTATATCCACTGATGCTCGTTATCGCGCAAGCCAGCTGATTGAAACCGTTGCCGTTAATCATCAGATTTCATCCAATCATCACTTCGACGCTCAAGTAATCTGAAAATTCAGGCTGTCATGTCATTGCACATCTCTGATTGTGCTATCTATATGCAAATGATGTGTGAAATGGGATGGCGACTCAGTGCTACATCAGGCTTTTGTTGGAGAATCTGTGCGTAAAAAAACAAATCCATGTAACAAGGCTTCTTATGTAAAAATGCATTTTGATATATATATTTTTTTATTTCCAGCCTCCTTAAACAAATAACCGAGACATGAGGTCTCATGTGAACAACGTGGCTTTAAACAAAGGAGAAATTACTTTCAGATTTCCAAGGCTAAGGCAAACAAAACAAAATGAGTAAATGTAATGTCTGTTTCAAGTCACTTAATTCCTTTTGATTTATTTAAATATTACAATGTCACAACAAATCGTCTTCTTAGGAAGTAGTATTAAAACAGCTCCAGTTCTAATCTAATGTCATTAAATCAGATTTTGAAACTGTCAGATGGTTTTATGTCAGCCAAGATAATACAATTCCTTATCAGTTCATTTAAATTAAATTAAATTAAATTATATTAAAATTAGTAACAAACAATGTAAATAAATCAATAAAAAGTGAATAGTTTTATTTAGATGGTTCAGTCTCCATTTTTGAGACAGTGAGAGGCAACAGTAGAAAGGAACAACTTATTAGAAGGAAGAAACTTCCAGTTGCATTAGACTTAAGATGAGTCTCCATCTGTCTCTCAACCCGCTATCTGAGCCGACTGTGCATGCAGAATAATAATCCTCTTATGCAAGTGGATATTTTCGGTCATAGTAGAATTGCTAACAGCTACAACAGATTTCAGAGATTTGAAAATAACATCATTGGAGTATCGACCACAGACTACAGACTTTATTTCATCCTTATTCTCAAGTACTTCCATTCATCCATCCAAGCATCCACATTTTTAATGGTATGGTTGCGGGATATACTATTAAGGTATGATCACTGTGGAACCAACTGACAGATCTATAGTAAGGTTGTGTAAGCTTTAAAAAAAACTCTAAAAATGACTCAGAGAATTTGATTAAGTAAAATGTTATTTTGACTTTAAAATATGTAGGCAACTTGTGTCAGATATCTCAGACTTTTGCCTCTTAAGCTCTAAAGCCCTTGAAATTTACGAACAAAAATGAATAAAAATCTATGTTCTGCCATAAATCAACAAATTCAACAGTCAGGACTTTGTAAAAGTATTGAGTTTGCTCATTGTACAACTCCAAGGAGTCAGAGAATATGCTGCAAATGTATATGTTTTAACTTTTGTTAAGCTTAAGTTTTAAAAGTAAAAAAAAACAGTTTAATACCCTATAAAGCTGTGCTGTAAAAGAAAAACCTGCCTGTATTGGATGTCAGGCAGAATGCCAAAAATCCCATCAGACTCTGGTCATGCTCATGCTTCCTCTTTTTAGTTGTGTTTTCTAAATCTCTACATCTGTGTTAGTCCCGTCCGGCCGGAGCTCACCTTTAGGTTACGCCTATTTGACACAAATAGCTATCAGATAGCAATATCAGGAAACAACCATGTCCAGACCAACATTGGGAACTCGGTGGGTATGATAAGAGGCATCTGTGGCAGCCAGCAGGTCATGTTTTTCCCTCTTCCCCACTGAACCGGAGCATTCAGCTCCTCTGAGCCAGCGGAGGAGTCCAGTTGTGTAAAGATGGAACTCTGTGGGTTTATTGAGTTTACGTTGGTCTTAGATGTTGTATGATGAACAGAGTTTGAGACTAGGTCTGCAAGATGGGAGAAGCTTTTTGAAAGAGTTAGTTCAGCTCACTTTTACAACAATAGCTATTTCTTAGGGACTCTCTATTGACTGTGCATGCTGGTTTTACACAGCTCTGCTGTATTTAAAGTCAATCAAAGTTTATTGACATTTCGCATCCAGAAGTAGATGTTTTTTCCATGCATTTCTTGCTAGTAGTTGAAGTGATAAACGATTTTAATATAACCTTTAAAATATATTTTCTGCATCAGTTTTCTTCTGATTGGACCCATGTGGTTGAGTCCAGTGAGAGTGGCTCAGTACTACGTTACAAGAGAAATGTATTATTTTTCCAAAATTAACATCCTTGTTCATCTGCAGTTTCATAAAGAGCATCTCTTTGGTTGAAATTCAACTAAAATGCATTGAGAATGGAATAAAAAGATAACTAATTACGGTTGTAGCAATACACACAGTCTATGATATTGTGCTTTGCTGGTAAAAAAAAAAAAATCAAATTAGACAAAAAAGAGTGGCGAAATGATTACCCTGGTACTCATCTACAGGCCTGTTTGATCTGTTAAAACGTGGCTCAGCTGTGGCAAACTGAGAAACGCTCTTTCAGCATGAACCCAACCTGCAATTATGTTAGCATAATAATGCTACCGCCACTGAATATTATACCAAGAATGGAATTTCTTCTGCCATTTTTTGCATCCCTGAGATGCTTTCAACATATACTTAGCCTTGGGTTTATTTCTCCCTGGAAAGCACAATAAAAGATGTCCTCTGATTGTTCAGTTTACTGTGGAAACTGTTTCCATTTCAAGGAACAGAGAACATGATCAATATGATATCCACGAGGGGACAGAGCTGGAGTTCTCCAATTATATGGTTTTCACAGCAAGTTTCTTCCGCTTCCCTTTGGGAAAACAATCACACTTTGCACTTGGCAGAAATTAAATCACACGTCTATTTTTGTGCCACTTTAGGAAGACTGAGGATATCCTCAGGGAAAGATTGCACTTTTATATTTGAATGTGTTTTCTGCAGGACAAAAAGGTTATCTTCAAAAGCCCTCAAATGCAAATGTCCATTTATGTGAAATTTATCAGGATCTAACTACTGTAACTACTCTAGAAAAATAAGTATGAAAGGCTGGAAAATTCAATTGTTTAAAAGGTCGGTCCTCAATGTACAAATAGCCATTATTTAAGACACACAGAGATTACTCGTTTATCTGCATTTTATCCACTGAAGTCTTTCCTTGCAACTCCACCTGATAGGAAAATGGCTTCAGTGCAGAACAGAATACGTGATAGGAGCAATTTGAAAGTTGGCAAACTACTAGGAGAGACCTGCTGCTGGACAGCAGTTAAGTATAGCTTTATTGGATTAAGCACTATTGGTCATGGAAACAACGGCACACGTAATGGCTTTGTTTTTTGTTTTGTTTTTTATTCATAACAATTACAAAGACATAGTAAAAATGACAGACTGAAAAAATTATGAATGCTTTTTAAAGAAAATTAAATAAATTTTGCATCACTTTACAGAAAATTACAGCATGGACAACAAAAAAAACTAAAAACAAATCACAAAAGCAAAATATCAAAAAGTAACGACTATGATTTTTTTTAAGATGTCTCTCTTCATAAAAAATGATGTACTTCAATTTAATTGATGATGTAAATGTTTAGCACTTAGTTTTTTGCCACCAGTTTTGACCACACTGAATGAGCAGAATTTGTTTTCTTTAATTTGTGAAATGTTATCTATAAAAAACTGATCATAATCCTGATCAGACTTGTCCAGCAGATGCTTTATCATAATCTTCTATAACTAACAAACGAGTCATAAATTTTGTAAACATAAAAACCAAAAACAGCACAATAACAGTTAACAGTAACACACCTTAATGAGAAATAAGCCAAGTACAGAGTATCTGGAGGTGTGTTACATGCCATAGTGGATGGAATTAGCTCCTCTTCTCTTCCAAGTGAAATAAACAAGACAATTTTAAATCCACGGTAATGCTTGCTAATCTATAATCCCACAGCCTTGGTGTTGGCCCTGTTTAGCTCCTGTGTAAGGCCTGTCCGACAACACACAGATCCGGGTGTGATGTAGAGCGTGGCGTTGTCCTGAGGTCTGACTGGCTACCCCATAATTCACGGTGCCTGGCTGGATTGTCATCTAGCCTGTTAAAATGAAAGTCAAATTTACTTTAGGGGTAAGCGTAGCATGCCTGGAGGGCTCAAGAGGGCTGTTAACAGAAATCATCCTTTAAATTAAACAAATGCTGTCAGGTCACATTGTGCAGAAGGAAAACAACCCTTATCTAATCAGAAACTGTTTCTGAGCCTGGTGGTCTTGCTCTGGATCCTCCTCTGCCTACTTCCAACGGACAAACCACTGTTATGTTCACCAACATAAAACTTAGCAAAGGATCAATTTCCATTTGGATCATAAGGATAATTTTGTACCATTTCTGCCAGTGAGTTCATTAAAAATAACAGAGAATTGGACTTCATCTCTAATAACGTAATTCAAAAAGGTTACTCAAAAGTCAATATGGTTTTTAGGTCTTGTGTTTGGTCTTTGATGTCCAATAGGCTTCAAATACTGTTGATGTGCCCCACAGGCTTTGAGACCTAACACATTCATTTGTTCTGCAATTATCCCTTTTCCTTTTGTTTCTTCAAGTCTCAAAATCCAGTCCATGAGGGCCAGTGTCCGACAACGGTTAGCCATCTCTTTGCTTCATCACACCTGGCTTCAGTAACTCATTAGCCGAGCTCTGTAGAGCTTGACTGCGTAATAATGAGACAGTCTTGCCATTGAATTAAAGTGTGTAGGGGAAAAGACACATCTAAAAGTTGCAGGAGTCTGGCCCTCTAGCACTGTAGTTTGAGACCACTGTTTTAATTCAAAGGCAACATTTTGAAAGACCTTTGGAAAGCATGACTATTTTGTTGAAGGATTTAGAAAAATAAATAAATCTTACCCCTTTGTACATATTGCTGGCTCACTTCCACAAGTTTCAGCCACTGAGGTCCCTTGGAATCGGGAAGTCATGCTTAGACTTGGCCTTCTGTCTGACTGGCTACGTCGAACAAATGGTCGTGGTCCTTGAACAGACACAGGGAACCTTCCGTGACTCCCCCAACAACTGGAAAGAACTGAAACTCTGTTCGAAGTCCATGCTTGAGGTGGTTGGACAACTGAACAAGGCTGGGCCTCAAACATGGATGGAGAGACTGGGCAGAAGACCGAACGAGCATTACTGAACATCTGTGCACTTGATTCTTCAGTGCTGTTCTTCCTTGACCATTTCTGTACCTTTGGTGAGGCTGGTGGAGATGGTGCTTTGAAAGGGTAGGAAGTGCTAGAGTTCTGGTTTGCAACAGGTGGGCTGGGAAGTCTCCGTTGAAGTGCTGGTGGTGTAGGAGGTGTCTTGTTAACAGGGGAGCTATTTGTTGAAGGTATTGTAACTTCCTTTTTTGAACCAAGAGGGCTGGGCAGTCTTCTATGCAAACTACTTGGGGTAGAGGGAGTGGAAGGTAACATCCGGCCTTTAGAGACAGGCGGCGTGCCAACTGGTTGGCTACTGGCAGTTGAAGAAGGAGGCACGATAGTTGCACTGGTATTAGATTGAGGCACTGAAATTTTGCCATTATGCTGTACATTAGGTGATTCTCCTTGGGGTTCTGAGGTTGCTTCCCTACTAATCGAGGAGCTCTCCGAGTTCGAGTCGGAAGATCGTCGTGTGTGTAAGGTCTTTCTAATTTGATGGTTTGAAGATTCTGTCTCCATTCCAACGTGCTGACTGACTTTTGAAAAAGCAGGTGTACCTTGAAAAACAATCTTCGTTGACTGTGGTATGCCTCCTTTGCTTGGTAACACTGTGACAGTCTGAACTGAAGCTCTAAGTCGTTGGGATACAGCAGGCCTTTTTAGCACAGGTGACTTTCCCACTTTTGTAGTCCCATCTCCTGCTGCAGTCGATCCAATTGGAGCACTTTCAAAAGAAGTGTCCATTAGTACTTCCAGAGGAGGTGGAGGAAGATTGTCGAGATCAAAATAATCATTTTTTTCAGATGTTGTGGACTCAGGTCTACAGCTGGTCACTCCCATACTAAGAACTGCTTCCACATTTCCTAAACCAGGTAGGATGGGAACACCACACTTCTGTACTCCTTTTAAAGGCCCAAGAACTGTAGGAGTTTCTCTTACCTCTATACCCTGGCTGAAGGTGTCAATCAGCTTTTTGACTGAATTCCTGCCCCTGTGAAAGCCAGATGACAGTTGTGGTGATAAAGGAGGGCTAGGTGGAGGAGTGGCTTTTATATGACACTTGGATTCTGTTTTTTCTTCCTGTTTATCTTTGTCAACATCAGAGATGATTTCTTTTTTGTTGCTGTACTTTAAGAGACGTGTTTTGTCTTTAGGTGATTGGCTATTATTGTTTTTACCTTGTGGAGGCTGTTTTCGATTTATTGCTGGAGACTGAGCTGGTGAATTTCCTTGAGTTTGTTTAAATGTAACTGACTTTGAGTTTCCTCCCACTTTGGTTTTACTCATCCTTTGTAATCTCTGGTTTAAAGCATTCTGAGTCCTTTCTAATTCAAACAGAGTTGGATCTTCACCTTTACTCCGCAATGATTCTGCTGACCTGGAACGTTGACCCCTGGCAACTGGGTTCTTTTTTATTTCTGTTCTCCGAACAGCTGTTGCTGTTTGAGGCCTCCTTGGAGATTGCACCTCCTCATCTGTCCAATCTTGTCTGGTGGTCTTTGGAGTGCCTGCTACTTTTGCTTTGGCACCAGTGTTCTGCTTTTGTACAAACCGTATTCTATCACTTACAGCATTTTTCATTTTGAGAGTCATTTCTACATTTTGAGGATTTTCTATGCGTTTTCTCGGTATGCGGAGTGGAGGCGTTGCTGAACTCATGGGTGAAGAATTAGATCGTCTCGGGAATGATACTTTTCCTTCCTTAACACCTCTATCTCCTTCCTCTTCATCATTGTTGTCATCTTCACCATCATCTAAGGAGGCTGAGCCTAACAGTGAATCTCTTTGGTCATTAGGCACCATGGTACACGTAGAATCAAGTGAATTGAGTGAAGTGAGAGAAAAACTTGGACTCATTTGAGTCCCATATTTTTCTATCGATGCTCCAGTGATGTTTGTAGCAGTGTACTCCGTAGGACTGAGTGGAGTTCTGTTTGTCCCACTGGACCCACAACTCTCACGTCTATGATGCTTTTCACATCCATTAATGGATTCATTCTCAGCCCCGATACCACTGTCCTCACTAAACAGAGCTGAATCCTCTCCTCCAGGCTTGCGCAGGGAGGCCATTTCTATTTGGGTTAGGAGTCGCATCATCCTGGCCTCCAAAGTGCGTTTGATTTTCAGTTTCTCTTCTAAAAGCTCTGACACTGAGGCAAAGTAATCCACTGCTTCCTCTAAAGCAGAGTCTCCAATCCCACAAACAGTCCCGCTCACATTCCTCATCCTCTGAGTGGTGTACTGAAGAAGCTGCTGCAACAAATCTGGTGGTGATTCTGAGCTAATCGGACCAGACGTCCGCTGCGAAGAAGATGAGAGATTTTTCTTTTGGCTTGGCCAAGCAAGATGTTCTCCATTTGCTTTCAAAACCTGTTCCCCCTCCTCTGTCATTTCTTCCAGTCCCTGAATTATTTCCTCATAGCGCAAAGCCATGAAGGCTATCATTGTCTGCACAGCAATCTGAGTTTGGGTGGCTTCTTCCATGAGCTCAAGTACAGAATCATATTTGTTTATACTGGGATTCAAAAAGGCATATGCAGCTTGATGAGCCTTTACCAAAGGTTCTGGAAAGTCTACTTTTTGATCTGTAGATATCTTTTCCTGGTCTTTCCTTCTGGGACCTTTAGTACCTTTGGCTGATTTCTTTGGTTTCTTGTTAGACTTTTTATCAGCCAACTCCTCCTTGTCAATGTTTTTATCCTTTCTTAGCGGCAGTGTGACTTTTTCTGTTGCTGTACTCTCACCTCTATCAATGTTCTTTACCTCTGTGTTCACTTCTTCAGTGGCATATCTCTTTTTTTGTGGTGTCATTTGTGCCTCTTTCTGAAGTACCTGGACATGTGGAGATTCCTTGTTCCCCTTTGCTTCTCCTTTTGCCTTGTTCTTCTGTCCGTCTTCATCTATCTTGTTTTCTTGAGGCACTGCAGGTAACATTCTTTCCCTCCTCATGGCACCCAAACTGCCCAAATTGGTACCTTTGGAGGGTGAGCAGCCCATTTTTTGTCTTGAAAATACAAGATGACTATGTTTTCTCACAGAGCAATTGCAAGAGAAATGAAAATCCAACCAAGACTCTTATCCACCAGCTGTATCAGTCATTTTCAGATGGCTGAGGCTGTACAGAATAACACAATCCCTTTCAACAAGGCGTTTGTCAAAACAAAAAGCAGATAAATCCATTTCAAAAATTGCTTCTACCCGTTACAAATACAGAAAATAAATCCACAGACTTGTGGTCATATTAAAATTTGTCTGTAGCCTGCAGTGAAATGCGTCCCTCTGAACCTTCTGGAGGGCAAGCAGCTGAAAGGATTAGTAGGGCTTTCAGTGAACTCCTCCGCATTAACATATGGCACGTTAAACCAAATAAAACTCACCTACTTGTAAGAACATAAGCTCATTTGTGTAATAGGGGCTGGCCCACGATGGCTTTTTATAGCCTGCAAAACAATATTGTAGTTTTTGCTCCTCACTGAAAAGGAAAAGTGATTTTCAGCAGGCATTCAAAAACATCTTTAGTTGTATTCTCAGTTATACATTTACATGTAAAGCTTCAATTTTACTAGAATTTTTTTTTTTTTTTTTAATGGAGCATTCAGCTTGGAGAGTCAAGAATTTATACAAGGCATAAGCCTTGTATAAATTCTCATTTTGTCTTTCACATTTCCCCAATCATACAGCATTTTAAGTAGTTTTCATTGTGGGCTCCTTCCTCTTTCACAACCATACAAAAATCAGATTAGTCCAGTCAAGTGCTGACTAAGGCAAAGAAAAAAAGTGTAATTGACTCAGACCTAAAAACAGTTAAAGAAATCTCTAAAATTTCAATAGAAATCTTTATTTTAACCCATTGAATGGCTTAGCAAACATTCCAGATCACTACAGCCCAGTCAGAACCAAACATGAAGCAGCATTCAAGTGCACCAATCTCAGTTCAGAAAATGAACCCATCGGGTCTTCAAAAAAATAAAAAATTCAAACACCCACTACCTATTGGTTCAGCAGTAGCCCTTCAAGGGTCAGTTTGACAAATCCTGTACTCTGGTCTTTCCTGAGAGCCAGTGAAGTGTCTGAAGCAGTCTGTTCTATCATAGATTAAAGAGTCAACACAAACCAGCTGAGTCAGTTTCATCATGAAGTCCCTTTTTGTCTTACAGATGCTACAATATGTTAAATGATAAAGATAGGAGTCGAGCCAGTTTTAAGTTTTCCCAGCAGTTTTATTCAGCTCTTTGTCCACATCTAAAGAGTTCCAGATGGCCAGATGAAAAGTCCACCCTGAAAGACAAGACAGGATAATGGGTACAGATGGCAACTTGTGTTCCAGCAGTAAACACTCAATTTTGCCTTACCAAAAAGACAATCTGCCTTCTAAAAGTCAGTTTCTGGAACATCTTGTTGCTGCATTGTGTCAGTTTCAGGCTCTGAAGAATAGTCATTGCTGGAGTACTGATTGTCAGAAAGGAGGTCTCTTGCTCTGTGATGGCCTCCGTTTGGCTGCATGAGGAGAGATGGCAGGTATACAGAAGGCTTCATCATGCCCACCGGCACCTCACTAGTCATCCAGGCCTGTGCAAGGGGCATTTCACGAAATTTCATTAAATTATTTCCAATGAGAAACCGTTCAGGATCCAATATTGAAGGCTGCCACGGCAAGTAGCCATAAGCAGGTGGAGGGCCCATCCCATAGGGAGCAGATACAGACAGCCGGCGGTCATATGCTTGGAGAGGTGAACCACTCATGCCATAAGCATAACTGTAATGAGGGGACCCAGCAGTACCATAACTGTAGCCATAAGGAAGAGATGCTGCATGGATACCACCATAATTATAAGGAAATCCCCTAAAGCTAGCACCATAAGTATATGGATGAGTTTCAGGGCTGGGATATACAGCTTCATGGAATGGTCCAAACCAGGGATTGGACAATGGATACAAGCCTCCAGGACTTGAAACAGTCAGTGGTTGCATTGAGAAGGCAGGTGACTCCTCTGCACGCGATGGAGGGCCAACATAAAAGGCTCTTGGTGGTAAAGTATCTGGGGCACTAGTAGTGCTGGAGTCAGTGATCTCAACAGGAGCTTCAATACTGGAGTTCGACTCGGTTCCAACAGATGAGGATGCAAACTTAGAGTCTGGAATTGCTGAAGATTCAGAACTCAAGGAAGTTGCTTTATTGCCATGATCTGGTGAGAGAGAGAGAAAGTTACACAAAAGTGGTCAGTTGTGTCAAGTCTCACAAGTTGCATGAATCTAAGCTGCTAGGAAATGAGTGGCAGTTGTTAGGCACCATGTTGTCTGTATGGAGCCAAAAAAGGTTCAATTTAGATTGTTCTTGTCACCAGCACTGTGAAGAGTCAGTTCATATTTCTCAAAACATCTTTTACATAACTAGCAGATCTTATTTTTGTCTCTACACCTTGCACACCTTGTCTATTGCAACTAAAATCCAAAAGAACACTGACAGTTTGAATTGATAAAACTTAAGTTTCATGCCAAGACCAATAGTGTCCATACTTTCAGGGTTTAAGATTTTGACTCACCAGTAGGAAAACAATTTCCAAGGCAAAAAAGCAGGCTGATCCATAACACCCTGCAAAACCTTCACATTAGAACCAACACTGAGACTCATTTTACTTTAATAAGTTAGTCATCACACCAATCCACTTTAGTAACAAACCTTAAAAGGCCTCCCAGGAACATAGTTGCCCCTAAAGAATAGTTCAGCTACAGAGAGTGACCCTCAGAGAAAAGAGAATGCTCTTAAACAGAAGGCTTTGCAGTCATTGTGCTTATTGGAGACACCTGTAGCACACTGAGCAGGTGCAGTGGTTCTTTTATTGGCCCAAGGGAATTTATGCAAGTGAAAGACAATCAGGTTTTCATGTAGTAAATGACAATGTTTGTGGTATTTACTAATGAATGAATGAAATGTCTTCTATGTAGTCAGCAAAAATCTACTCAAGGTAGAAGTCAAAAAGGATATTTCAATATATGAATATGAATATACTAAGGATACACATAAGACACACACATTTGAACAACAGCACTGTTGATTATGGTATAAATTAAAATTAATGTACCTTTTCTGGTTGTCAAAAAATAGATAAAACAACTTTTAGCTTGATTTTATTTAAAGACTGAGTCACTGAGGCATGTAGTTAATAAGGGGCATTTAAGACTAATTTTGAACTTTGGCACCACATTATCTTAAAAACTGGACATGACATACTCCTGTGACATTTGGAAACAAAAGGCTACATTTAAATAACAAAAAATTGGTAGATAAATAAAATAATGCAGCCATTTCTGTGCAAAATATACATTAGTGGGTTGTTCATAATTCTTCCAGCTTCATGCAACAAAGACAGAATTAGTAAGAATTTAGAGTAAAATAGAGAGATAAGTGCTGTCTATACTTGTATGCTATTTTTTTTATCTAAATATGTATACATTAGCTAAAGATGGATCTGAAATGTTTATTATGGTGTGCAAATTAAGATCAAAGTCAAGAAATAATTATTGAAAAGGTTTGTGATCAACTGTTTGCCAAGCTTAAGGTTTGATTTGAGATTCTTCTCAATATTTTGTTAGGTTATCTTCTACATTGCTCATTGAAAGATGTGTTCTTTCCTCCCTACTTTTCCGACATGGTTTTAAAATGTCTTGAGATGTATTATTTTGTTTATGAGCCTACACCAAGTCAGCACCATATGTAGAAAATATAGGAATATAGCTTTATTAGTTGTGCTTCTTTAATTTCTTCTCATACTGCTGATGTTAGTATTGTTCGAACGACTTGATTTTTAATATTACGCAGTTTTTTGAATGATGAAATGGATATCAAATAGGCCATGATTGACCCTTATCTTGCCTTACCAATATGGCGGGCGCGTCGACGTACGAGCGTACTGAAGTTCAACGCCACGTCAAAGAAGAAGGAGAAGGAGAAGAAGAAACACTGCGAGTAGTCAGCGCGTCTCGCGCTAGGGAGGAATGCTTCCTGCGGATCCTCGAGCTCTGTGAGTTGCTATCTACTCGGGTTAGTGTCTGTCCTTTTGTTTTATCTTTTATGGAGCTCACCAACCAGTAATAGCTTTAACTTTTATTTAACGCTGATACTTTTAGTTTTTACCGATGAGAAAAGATTTTCTGTAGAAAAACCGAAAATGTGTGATTTCGGTGAGCTTTTAAGCTAGCTACGCCATTCTTAACCTAGCAGAAAAGCTGTAGACTTGACGACTAATTTAGTAAAATGTCAATTTAGATCAAATGTTTAAGTAACATCCTAGTCACAAAAAATAAAAATAGTGACCAAGATTTATAATGGAAGGTAACAGTAATGTTCAGATTAATTACCGCAGACACCTGCAAGTATGTGGGTAAGCCTTTTCCGCTCCAAGTAAAAACTGATTAAAATGTATGTTAAATTCACATGAAAATCCAATTTCCTTGCATATCACTTAATTGTTACGGACAGCTGGAAACATATTTTTGTCAAAAAAGTGTACTAAACTAATGCAATACGCTAACATTATTAGAGGTTTTTCAGTATATCGAAAACAGTTCCGAATCAGTCATTTTTTTAATCCAATTGTTGTACTTTCAGTTTTCTGTTATTTGACGTCTTGCTCCAGTAAGCCTCTGTAGGAATAAGTTCTCTTTTTGGAAGACTCCGCTTTCTCAAATTTTGTCTTTTTTTACATAAGCGAGACATTTTAAGTTGCTTTCCCTCAGCTTTAACTTTGACACTGAAGATAGTTTTTGACAGATTCAGGATTGATTTTTGTTGTTGTCGTATCCAGCCGGCCTATTGGATAGTTCAATTATAAAATTCGTCTATTTCACCTGCAGTGGGATAAACTAATGCAGTTTATCCCACTGCATTTTTTTTATTTTAAAAAATAATGGATTAGTTTTAGTTTTACTGCATTAGTTTTATTTTAACTGATTAAATTAAACTCTGTTTGAAAAAGTAGGACATTTTGTATTTTCATACATAATTTATTATGCATACTGTTGAAAATTTTATTTTTACATTAATATATACTGCTCAAAAAAATAAAGGGAACATTTCACTTTAATTTTGTGTGTGGCTCCAAATCCAGGCCTCCATTGGTTAATAAATTTGATTTCCATTGATGATTTTTGTGTGATTTTGTTGTCAGCACATTCAACTTTGTACAGAACAAAGTATTCAATGAGAATATTTCATTCATTCAGATCTAGGATGTGTTATTTGAGTGTTCCCTTTATTATTTTGAGCAGTGTATATCGAATTATAGGATTCTCCCCATTAAATTATGTCTTTAATATTACGAAAAAGGTCTGTGCATTTAATGAACTGGAAAAGATTAGCTTTTAGTCAACATGAGATGTTTTCAGTAATTTTTTTTTATGTCGGGTTGAAATGTTTCTTAGTGTTTATATTTCCTTAGTTATATTTGTCACAATTAACTTTCTAAAGAAGTGGATTAGCTTAAAGATCTTTGACTTTTCCTCTCTCTCCAATCACCAGACAGCAGTAGCCTCCTGAACATATGACACAAGCTTTGGCATGATGAAAACTCCTCCCTCTGCATCCCTGCGGGTCAAGCGCAAGAATGTCCGTCAGATGAGAAAGCATTTCTGCCTAAGCAGAGCGAATGGTCAGGACTCTGAAAGTTCCCTGTGGAAGATCCAGTCCGGTCAGCGTGACCCGTGTTTTACCAAAATGCCTGCAACGGTCATCCAGCGGCAGGAAATGGCTTCATACTTGCGTCTTTTTGGTAAATCGGCATGTGGACGTGTGCATGAATGACTGGATGTAGTATGACGTGCGTTGGGGTCCTCTGGGCCTGATGAAACGCTATACAAATACATTTACCATTTAGATTAAGAACATCTGGTGAGAGAAGCTTAAGGACTAACATAATGGTTTCGGTTTCAGATGATGGCCTGATCCAAGACTTTCTCCGGATGGACTGTTGTTATAAAATGACTGACAAGGTAAAACCCTTTATACTTTATAACGAACCTTCATTTTGCTTAATTACTGTGGTGCCTACTTCAAGTTTTGCTCTATTTTGTCAGTACCTTTTAGCCATGACCTTTGTGTACTTCAAACGGGCCCACTTCTCTATTGCTGAATACAGCAGAAAGAATTTTTTCATGGCTCTGTAAGTCCACAGAACTCAGAAGAAGCTTTACATTTTTGGTTGGAAGCACAACATTCCTGACATCAGCATTTGTTCTGTGTCTGTAGCTATCTTGCCAACACCATGGAAGAGGATGAGGAGGAAAGCAAGTATGAAATTTTCCCGTGGGCTCTGGGAAAGAACTGGAGGAGACAGTTTCCACGTTTCCTTAAGCAGCGAGATGAGTTATGGGCTCGCATCTGTTACCGAGCTGCCGTCAGTAAGAGCTGCTGTGAGGAGGTGCGAGCATTTGTCTTCGAAATGAGGCTGATAAACTCAGCGCCATCCAGAAATCTCTGTCCTCTCAGCATGGGCATTATGATTAATTTTGGGGGCTTTTATCCATACATTTGAAGTGTTTTCTTTTTATGGTTGAAGGGTGTTATAACAAACAATTTGATGGGGGTACTGTGCACCTCGGTTGGTGGAGGAGGCGCCCCACATGCAGAAGTCATAGTCCTTGACGCGGTTTCCCTGGATTCGATTCCTGGTCTCGGACCATTTGCTGCATGTCTTCCTCTTTTCTCTCCAGCTTCTTTCCTGTCAAATGACTCTTCAGTAAAAGCCATTAGTGCCAAAAATAGTCTTTTAAAGAAACACTTTGACAGACGAACTTCAGTGAGTACTGTAGTTGATTTTCTCAAATCCAAAAAGGGTGAAAGTTATAGATACAGCTCTGACACACACACACACACACACACACAGATGTACTTTGAATGAGAAGAAAAGTCAGGCAACCTCCTTATAGCCAGTGTTGAAGCTTGTTGTATAAACACTCCACCCTAAAAACAGAATGGGTTAAATTGAGTATTAAAAGCCCTAAAATAATGACATTCATACTGATCAGTGTATGTGCATTTCTGACTGGTACCCTAGCTTCTTTCAACTTTAACAAGCTTGGATTAGTTTGTTGACTTCTGTCTCCCTGCCTCTGTCCCCAGGTAATGGCCATTGTGCCTTCTCACTTTGTGTGGCAGCGGCAGCGTTCTGATCACCACAGTGGCGCCCTGAGACAGTACAATTCACAAGGCCCTACTCGTTTTCCGCGCGGCCCGTCCGCCTCCCCCGTTTCCTGTGCCCTCTGCAATTGCGGCAGCAGGTTGCATCGCATCTCCTCCAGCCACCCATCTGCACAGACCACAAGCTACCTGAACCCGTTCGCTCCTGCCTTTACATTCGAGCTGACGCCACCCAAAGCCTCCAGCAGGACGGCAGAGGAGGATAAAGACGAGGCACCGAAATTGTGCTGCTTCTGTCCTGAAGAGCTTCCAAGTAAGGGCTAGAGGTTATTCAAAAGCCAGAATGCTGAGCGCTTTGCTATAGATGAAACAAGGTGATGAATTTCTTTGTTTTGCTTTTAGGCTTTTTACTGATTGTCTATTGTCATCCTGAGCACTGATTCTCCAGATTTTATAGAGCTTTTCTTTATACTATTGGATATCCACTAGCTTTCAGCAAAAAAAAGAAAAAAAAAACTTTGTATAACATAGCATAATGGGCGATGTGTATTTAAATAATTTAAGCAAATGCATATGATTTTTTTTACAACTCTCTTCATAAGACAGTTTAAAAAGTGATGTATTTGGGAAACCAGAAACAATCCAGGAAAGAAACCAGAGAGATGCATCA